TTTATTGGCAATGGCAAGTTTTCATGGGTTTTTTGGTTTTGGTTGGCTGGTTAATTTGAGACAGGGTCTTGTTAAATAGCTCCAGCTGGCTGTGTAGCCCAGGCTGACATTAAATTCTTGGTTTAATTGCTTCAGTGTCCCAAGTGCTGGTATTATAGGCATGTGTCCACCACATACAGCTAAAAGTTGAAGTTTCTAGCATGAATTAGAATTTTTGAAAATTCACACATACTACCATGAGCTTGATCACTTCCTAAGACTGTTAATAAGTGGTATTAACAAATAAAAATTTTCCTGTTAATTTAGTTAAGTATATGCACATCTAGAACTGTAACTTGGTGAAATAACACTTTCTATGACTACCCAATAGTGTTTCAAAAATCATGTCTGGTAAAAAGATGCATTCGAAGTTCACCAGATTTTACAGAAAGTATAAAAATGTTCTTTGATGATTTCAGGACCCAGATTATGCATAAATTTGTCATTTTATATAATGTCAAATAATAAAATCATCTTATCTAAAAAGATGACTAAAGTATATCTCCACTTTCTAAGTATTTGTGAGATGTTTTCCATAAACTGAACCCAGATTTTCATATATTTATTATTTAATGTGCACCAGCCTATTTTACATAGTGAGTTTTGGGTCAGCAAGAGCTACGAAGTGGGACCTGCTTCATAAAAGGAAAGAAAAAAATGATGCTCAATTCTAATGTAGTATCAATAGATAAAATTCAGCCAAGCTAAGCTGAAACTCACTGGAGCAAGCACATTGAAACAGCTAGAGTCCTTCAAAGAAGAAAACAGCCAGCTGCAAAAGTAAATGCAAGCCCTTCAGAGTTGTATTTTTTTCCAATTAATTATTTAATAACCACATACTTAGAAGAAACATTTCATTACAACAGCACTGACATATTCAATAACAATTTTCTGAGCTAAGATGCATCTTTTTCAAAATTGGCTGTAAACTTTTAGGTTTACAGTTGAATTGTTGCAGTTATACAATATTGTACTCAGTATAAACCCTATAAGACATAAAATTAAATGAGGTAATGTTTTTCACATCTACTAATTATTTTTTTAATCATTTTTAAAATTTTTTAATTACTACATGATTAGAGGAAGCATTTCACTACAGCTTTAACATATTCAGTAACATACTCCAGAGCAAGAGTACATTTCTTTCACAAGTGGATGCAAGTTTCTAGGTTCACAGTAAATACAGTTATACAGTATTGAACTCAGTATAAGCCCTGTAAGATGAAAAATTGAATGAGTTTTTTAACCTTTAAAAAAGGTCTCCATTTCATTTTAGAATATATTGTTCCTTGCAGACTCATTGTTTTTGCTACTAACACTGAGATGTTGGCGCATGCATCTCTAATCTGTGTGCATCTGATTACCACTAGTCATAATCAGTTACACTTGGACCATTGGCACCTGTGTATGTCTATGAAGTCACTGGGTGGATTTTAATGGTAATGTTTATCACCTCTACTAATTAGCATGATGTACATTTCCATTCTTCCTCCTCAAATATATTTTTTGAAAATTTTTGTGTGTGTATCACACAGAACATCCCAAACCATATTATTCGACTATACACCCACTTCCCAGTTGGCACCCTCCCATAGCCTCCCTCCCCCGACTAGAGCTCTTATATTCTGATATCCCTGCTACTGTCTGCTGTGTTGTCAGCACCCCCAGCCATTCCCCACTACTTGCCCTTCTGGTGAATCTAGTCAGCCTATCTAGAGGTCTTTGTTTTAGGAGGGTCAGCTGTTCCTCTTTGAGCAGCAATCAGTTGTCAATACTCCTTTAGATAAGATTAGGGTCTGCTGTTCATTTTCCCAGTTCTGTGCTGGGTTACTATTTGGGAATCCCTTTGTTCACCCTGGCCAACAACTCAATAAGTTGTTGGCATTGTTGCTTGTTATGTAGCCTTTAGCTATGCATATGGACTCTTAAGAAATTATATTGGCCCCTTTAATCTTTGGGTATACTTTCCTTTTGGATGTTTAAGGCCATACAGTTGGCCCTGATAAACCAATTTATTTTTACTCTAAGGTCGTTTGAGGACCTGTTCCTCAGAGATCACATGGGCTTGGGAGGAGCCCCTGGCTCCTTTCTTTACCAGTTCCGCCTATGTGAAGATAAGTCAAAGGTCCTGCTCGACCGTGGTTGGCTTCGCTAGGAAGCATGGAGGAAGTGATTCCTCTGTGTTGACCCTCCTCTTTGTAGACT